AGATTATAAAACCTTTGTTCTGTGCCACAAAACCAGGTATCCAAAATTACAATAGTTATAAAAAAATGCCAAATGCAATTTCTGCTTATTCCAAACTCCCCTTGGCCCTGAGGATATCTGATTACCAGGCTAGTCAGCCCCTCCCAGCAGACTCAGCAAGCCTTTATGGTACTTCTGTTGTATCAGTATTGAAAATAGTTCATGTTTTATTGTAAATTACTGTTATTTGCAACTTGCAGTTTTGCAGTTCCCACTGCACAGAGATCAAGCACTCAAATTTTCCTTTGTATCCATCAGTGTAAATCAAGATTAACTCCAGTGAAGTCAGCCTAACCACAAGTGTAAACCTAGGAGGAATGAAAGGAAGATCAGTCTACAATCTACTTGGGAGTTTTATTTGTAAATAGCAAAATTAATGCTGCCGTTCTGCAGACACAGGTGACCTGCAAAGTACTAGCTCATGCATTACTAATGTATCTCCATTTAAATGCAGATTTTTGCTCCTAACAGAACTTCAGGGAAATCCTCTCCAGATAAACTGTAATGGGATACCAAATGGCGATTCAATATTTCACTTTAGCTTGTGTTTCAGCTTATTGATCTTAATTTTCTATCATTTTGATGCAGCATTTGCCTAGGGGGAAGAGGATTACATTCACTGCAATACAGCTTTTAATTAATAATTAATTATTTTAATATTCCCCATATCCAAGCCAGCAGTGCAATCTGCTTGTATTTCTTTCCTAGTTTCTATTTTTAGTGGTGGAAACCAGCAAGGTGTGACTTTACATATTTCAGGAAGTAATTGAGACACAGTAGAGAAAAGGCAGCATAGCGTAAGTATCACAGTGTCTATGTGGGACATGATTAGTCTTTGGTCCTTAGCCATACTGCTACTGTGGTAACAGTAATGAGACCCTGACACGATTTGGTTTTGCCATATATGACAAATTTAGCATGAAGTTTTTTCTCTGAACAAGTTTAGGATCAAGTTTTTCTCTACCTCCCTTAAGTACTACTTAAGTGCAGCTTCCAAGATGTACATGAAACCTTGATTGATATATATTTTTTAGATAGATAACTGTCTTCTCTGGACTGAACTTTTAAGTGTCCTAAATAGTACAATGGAACATAGAAATTGTGTTTATAAGTCTACTAGATCATGAATACAATCATTAAGAGGAATTACCTGAAGTTGAGAGTATTTTTGCAGCACTTGACATGATGACCTCCAATCTAGTTATAACTAGGTCACACTATTTCTCAGTTTCCAGGCTGAAAGCCAGCAGCACAAGGATTACAAGCAAGGCTTATGTACCAGCCACTCCAAAATAACTGCCTATTATGGTAGAAGGATAAATGAGATTTTAAAATAAATTTTTATGTTTGCGGGTTTTTTTATTATTTCTGTAACTTAATTACCTATAGGGTGCATTCTTTTAACATTTCCGAATGTTGTTCTTCCATCCATAAGATTAATGAATTTTCAAAATTTTACCTCCAAGATTAGCATTTTTTATATAGCATCATACGATTTGTATACGTTTTTAAAATTATCAAAGTAAGAGCAATAAAATAGTGGAAATTGCCAGTCTTGTGGTTACGGAGATCTCTGCCATGTAATTTGGTCAGCAAAACAGATGTCTAAGAAGTAATGACCTTTGTGATTATGCTCCTTTGAGAAGTTCACCTACATGCCCTCAGTTTTCTTCTCTTAAATTATGTCCAACATTCTCAAACCCTGGCAGATTCAAACACCATCTAAACAAAACAAAAACTGCTAGAGAAACATTCCTCTGCTACCCCATCAAAGTCAGTCCTCTCCATGCCCATGTTTAGGTCTGAATAAATAGTATGCTGCAATCCATCAGACAGAAATTTGTTACTGGTAAGAACATAAGGCACACCATAAAAAAACTGTCTCTTGAAAGATTTTGTTGGGGGGGAGGGATGGGGGGTGGGTAGGATATTGGTGGGGTTTTTTTCTCCCCCTCCAAAAAAAGGCAGGAACAGCATTTGCTTTTAGTATTGGAAGTCCTTGCTGACTTGGTAAATGAAGAGTAATGAAAAAATGGTATAGCTGCAGTGGAGGAGCTGGGTATTTTTCTCAGCAACAATCCATTATCAGTAAACACATTTTGATTGGAACCAAAGCCCTAAACAAGACTTCTAATGCTGGGGAGTATTTCAGTTAATCACTTATGGGTTTATCCAAATCAAGTCTTTAAAGAGACTACTATTGGTCAAAAAGAAAGTTTTCAATGATCCAAAATAAGATTTCTTTTAATTAGAAAATTATAGAATTTCCAGGGTTTTTGAGTTTTGGATTTTTTTTAATCAGTGTAGAATCCTTTATTTAAATTGGATTTTGTACCCAATTATAGCAAAACTATTTACTAAATGGTAGAAAATAAAGAGGTGGTTTTCTTCAGAATCTATCTTGAAAAGTGGTGAAAATGAGTGTTGTAATAGGTTGGGGTTTTTTCCCCAAGACATAAGTCCTTGGTAGGACTTAACAAATAAAACTGAAATTAATTTTTAAAAAAGGGAATGGATCAGGTGTGAACTGATAAAACTTACCGCTTCTTTGACCTTGTAAACTTCCATCAGAATGCATGACACAGCATGAAGTTTGCCTAACAGCAGTAGGTTTGCACATCCTCTTATTTCCTTTACCGGCTCAAACCTAGGTTTTTACACTAATTACTGTTCATTTATTGAATGGAAAACATGCATTTTTAATTATGTTAGTTGAAATGTTGGGTAGTTGTGAAACCAAGTGCTTGGAATTGGTCCATTTGAGCCACATGAATCAGCAGTACTGTTTCACAGTTTTTGCATTTTTTTCACTTCACTGTTTCACACGATGATCCTTGCCCAGCAGAAAACCTGATAAAGATAAAAGGCTCCATCTAGTGGGCTAGAATTTTCTATTGAAAGGGTAAAAAGAAGGCTCTCATTTTCACTTGATTTTATGTACTAAGAAATACATCTTTAGATTTTGTTTCATTAAGCTGCCATGTTGTTGTTAATTCTTGCCTTCTGCAGAGCCATTATTTTATATGCAAAGCTGTGAAACATTAAGTATTATTCTGAGTCTTGAGCAAGAATCAATAAATTATACTAAATGACTGGGTTCATACAGCAGTTCATCAAAAAAGTTCTTCCTCCCCACCCCCTTCAAGTTTCAGTGTAGAGTAACCAAAAGAAGGTAATTTGTGTGTCAGCAAATATTTTAAAGTATTTAAGCTTCTTTCCTACTTAAAACTGACTGGAAACACTCATAGCTTGACCACAGCACTTAATACAATATTTTGGGAGTATTTTTACTCAGGGAACTCTACCCATGTGTTACCTCAGCATTAAATTGTAAGACTTATTTACCTGCAAGTGGAGAAATCTGTGTTTTGTGACAAAACCCAGTCCCTGTGGCCTCTGCTGTGTCTTCCAAAGGCAAACACCAAACTCATCCATCCTGGCATTTGTCTAGGAGCCTGCCTGGTACTGTTGTGTGTCCAGAAGCATCCTGACAGAATCGAGCACCTTTATTTTAAGTACACAACTGATATAGTACAGTAGTACTGGTTGGTTTTTGTTGTTTTTTTTTTTCCTTTTCTCTTTGCTGGATTTCTGCACTGCATTGCAGTTATGCTTCTAGCCCCTGAACTTGAAATGGCAGGACTCCTCCATTTGCAGTAGTGAAACTTGGGTGTTACTCTCATGCCAACAAATTCAGCTAGCAGCTGAAACCTCCTTTTCAGTTCACTTCAAGCTAGTAACAAGCGTAGGAGCAGGAATAAGTAGAGCAAGCACAGATTTGGCAGAAGAGACACTGAACTACATGTCCTGGCTTTTGTTCAAATGGCCTTCCTTTTAAAGCAGTAGAGCCTGGCAAGATCAGTTCCTCCTGTGCAGCTTCCAGCAAGGGGCAGACAGTGCATGCATTGTAGTAATGCACTACACCCAAGTTTACTATAGCCAGCATTCATATCCAACACTGGAAAATGTGTCTCCTGTGCAAATCACTAAATAGAGCTTACCAAGTTGTTTTGGACTCTTTTGACCACAGGTAGATCTTCCTTTGTATTAGATCACTTAATAGCAAATCCAGAGGATTTTTACTTTGGTAGCAATGCATGATTTGGCAATTCTGATAGGTTACACAGACTTGTCTTCCAGAACAATCCTCCCCAGCTGCAGCTGTTGTATCCTCCATGGAAATGTTTTTTCTGAGCTGCCAGTGGGAAAGATCAGTCATTTGGCTTGTTTTACAAGCTAAAGTAAAGGTTAGTATTAGAGCTCTTACTCTGAACCTTTCTGTGAGCAAGGACTACCACTGAACTGTGTAGTTCTAGAGTGCCTTTGAGGAAGTTGATATGTTTGCAACATGCAAACAGTGCTATCTCAGAAAGGGAAGAAATGAAAGGCAGAACTTAAAACTGCATGGTTTGCTATTTGTTAAGAGTAATGCCACTTGGTTTCTAATGTACACAAACACCTACCTCACATGCAATAGAAGAAAAGATGCAAGACCCTTGATTCAAAGTTGTTAAATAATATCACTTTTAACTGCTGGCCTTTGTTCTAGAACTGTTCATGTTTTAAAAGCTTATAGGCTTGTTGCTGAGCTAAAGCAAAAGTTTGGAACTACAGTAAGATTCTCTGTTTTACCTTACATACCTTTTCTAGCATTAGTAACTTGAACTGATTGAACTAATGAAATACAAATTTCCAGATGTGAAACTCTGAGGATTATTCAACACACTACTTTTGTAATAACCTGCTGTCAACTCAAACTGTTAATTTAGGGATTAATTTATTGCCTCTTCTGGTCATTGAAAAATCTTATACAAGCCTTCTAACTAGGTAATGTTTATCCAGGTTAAATTTATTCAGCTACTTTTTTGTTCTTTGTGGGAGCAATGATCTTTCAAATCAAATGCACTGATGTCCTTTTATTGCTTTAGAGAACCACTCAGTCTCTCCCTTACTTTTCACAGCTAACCAGGTGCTGAAGTTTGGAACACTCGTCAGTACTTCCAACACCTATGACAACTCCGGGATTGTGACTATCGAGACAGACAAACCTTTGCTGTGGACAATGGCTATCAAGACATAAGATCAGCTACAGCTGCCTTTTCTGATCTGATACAACTCAAATTACTACAAAATTTCACTGAATTAAGACAGTAAAGCTGCTGCAAGGTATAAGCAGGCACTGATTTTGTGTATTGAATGAAAAACAAGTCTGGAATAAAAGTCACTTGAGATTGAATCAAAATTACTTGCAGTAATAGAGTACTTCATTCTGGTAAGTCACACTACTTAATCAGAAGATGCATGAGCAGCTACTCAGTACAACCACAAACCGAAATGAATGTAAAGAAATTGCTGCTGCTTATGTGGTTAGTTCAGGCTACTTTTACAAAGTATTTTATTCCAATACTAAGCTATTTTTCCTGTCCTGCCAAAAGGAATTACAGTACCAAGTTGCATATAGTATAACTGTATGACAAGATGATAGCACCAAGATTAACTAATCTCATTTTTCTGTCCTGGTTTGCAACAATTGTAGGTGCTGGTGAAGATTTCTCAAGGATAATAATTGAACTTTTCTACTTAGGAAGCAAGTTAGTGTACTGAAGAAGATTCAGCTTTGCTGTAATACCAGTATCAGATGTCCCAGTATGAAGTGCTTTTAAGTCCTGTAACAGAAGTACCATTGTACCTTCTGCAAATACCAAATGCTTACAGTAAGATTTTTGAAGTGAATTAAATATCTTAATCTGAGGAGGAAGAACATGGCACCTACCTTAGTTTTTGCAGGCTTAGTTCTTAAAACCAAAATATGCAATAATTTAAAATAATGTAAACTTCCAGGTCAACATACAGGGGCCAATACAATTATATGTACAGAACAGGAGCCAAAATTGGTATATATGCTATCCAGCAGTGTGAGCAAGTTGTGGATTTGCTGAAGGACAGCTTAGTGTCTCTGAGAACTAAATTACCCTCAAATGGTATATCTCAGTAATCAGTTATGTTTGGGTTTATTAATTATGCCATCAGAATAAGGACTGGCAATGCAATTTCTTTGTTTGATATGAGATTTTTTTCCTATAACCCAGCATGACTTCCAAATACAGAAAGGAATTAGTGATAATTATCGTGATTCCAGAAATGAGTGACAGGAATTCCCATACACTTTTACACCACTTGAAAGAATACAGAAAGGCTGTTTTCTTGCAGTCTGCTTTTGCTAGAACAATGCTGTTCCTTTGTAAACAGCTCCTGAAGAGAGGTCATACAGCTGTCCCCCATGGAAGCTTTCTGTATTTGCCTGGAGAAAACCTTAGGCAACCACATTAGAATGCAACACTGACCTAGCTTCAAGCAGGACATCGGACTAGAGATCTTCCAAGCTTCCTTCCCACCTGAATGATTCTGCTATGGTTAAAAGAAGTAACAAAACAAGTACAGCACACAACTACTATTACTGAAAAAAAAAAAAAGTAAGCCAGCAGACAGGTATGATCACACACACTTTAAAAAAGTAATAAGATGACAAGAATGTTTGAAAACACAAACTGAGCTTGTTTAATATCAAACAAATTAAAGCTGTGAAATCACTGCAGCAGGTGTCACAACTGTCTTCTTCATGATGAATATTCAGCCACCTCTGTTGAGAGAACAAAGTAATTAGTTTCAACTAATGAAGTGTGATCAAGTGATCCCACCTAAAGTCTTACTTAACCTCCCACCACTGCCTTGTTAAGACAACCATTACAGCTTATCTCCCATTTTCAAACACTCCTTGCCTAGATGACCACTCTTACAGGTATAAGGAAGTCGCATAGTGTGGACACAGAATGGTCTTTAACCTCTCCCAGTGCTGGAGAGGGGATCACATTAGCTTTGGAGAATATGGTACTGTTAGTATGTCAGTACCGTGATGCCAGTCAACCTGAAGTTCAAATTTTTCATTCCTTCCAAAAAGGATTTTACAGGATGCAGTTACACACAAAACAATGTTTCAAATGTATCTAGCACTCAGTAAATGAAACAAGACCAACTTTGCTCTGTGCCCTGTCATCCTACAGCATACCCACTCAGTTTTCTTTACCTTACCATCCATCCATTTACTTTGAATACCCAAACTATAAAATGGAAACAGTAAGAGCATTTAAGATCCAAATAAGGTAAATGTTCTGTGGTCAAACATACACTAAGGAACTGGAAATCAAAATATGCAACGTTCAGTTTTGAAGCAGAATACTCAGAAAAAACCTTGAGAACTATGGATCTAATACTATGCAGCATGCTGAATTAACATAAAATTCATTAATATTGTTCATTAAGTCCTTTGAATCAAGTAATACTTGTCACGTTACACTAACATGTGAAATGCACAGATTAAAACAACATGGGTCCCGTGGGGCTCACTCATGTCCTCTGTTTAAAACTGAACAGGTAAAAATTTAATGAAACTGAAGGCCATATTCACTTACACAATTATATTGTTGATTGGGATATGGATCAATTTGACAAAGAAACCAATAAATCCCATTATCGCAAAGCCTATTGCTGTTGCCATGGCAATCTTCTGGAACTCTGCAAAATAAGAAAAAAAAATTTTGTTAGGATGTTTTCATGTATGTGCACTGCATGTATGTGCAGAGACCAGAGGAGAGATCTCTTTTTACAGAGCCATGTTAATACTGGAAACACGTCAAAATCTGCAAAGATGTTGAGAATCAAATCTACTTTTTTAGAAGACATGAGATTTTTCAGAGAGAAGATGCAGATTTCCACAAAGAATGGCTGATCTCAATCTTTTTTAGATAAGCAGAATCAAAAATACCCACAATGACAATTCACAGAACATTTATCCCATTATGTTTCCTTTACATTCCTACAAACCCTGAAAGTAATCTCTAATACAGCATCAAAAATCAGAAAATCTGTATTTATGTCTGTCACAGGAGGACAGCACTGTAAGACCCCACAATAATGGAATACTTGGGATATTTTCAATTACTTTAGGACAGCAACTATGAAGCTGACAAAGAAGGCCAACAGCCCCTCAGAAACCTGCCAGTCTGACAAGGAATGAAGTTCCTTATGGATTCTCAATAGCAAACTTAAGTCACAGACCTGTTCACTCTGAGCATGTGAATAAAGCACTGAAACTTTCAGAGGACCAGTTGCATTCTGGTTTTAATTACCGCTTCTCTCCAGAGCCTCTCTAGTCCAAAACCTCCTCTTCCATACTACCAGTGACAAAACTGTTCCTGTCCCAGTCAGGCAATGACTGACAGCTGTGGAGCACTGAATTTCAGCTACTTAACCTCTCTCCTAAAGTGAGTTTTAGTACCACTCACACACCTACATATGAGTGTTTATTATAGCCAGAACCTTAAACACAGAGATTTAGACACCTAAAGCTCAAGTTTAAATCTCATATTGGCAGCTGAGAAACATCCACAGCAAACGAATCGACAAAAGTGACGTATGGAAAGACACGTGCTAAGATACAAGACTAAATAAGGATTGTGTTCTGGTTTGTTGTGTGCTTTACCTTTCCTGTCAGGCTTGGTGCATCTCTTAACCAGTCGTATGGAATCTTTTACAAACTGACGGCTGGGTTCCACAAATTGCATTACCTGATCCATGATTGCCTGCAAAGACATATACATTTAGTATTGATGGTTCCACATATATACTGAAAACCAGAATTTTTTAATTACATTAGTAACAGTTACCTACAAAATTTGTTAAAGGTTTTAGATAACCTAAAGTGTTACATTCCAGCCTAAGATACTTCCACTTTGCAGGAAACGAAGACACTGTTTCAGTAAATAAACATGAGGGCCTATTTCTGACTCCAAAGGAAAAAAATACGGAAAACTGTGCCTTTCAGCCCAAAGAGGGAAACAGCCCCATCACAGCTGGGCTTTCAGCTCACGTCCTACGCCGTGTTTCTGAGAACACCGCCAAAGGCGTCTAAATAGACAAAAGCCGCCGGTTTGAGGAGACCCCCACGCCAAAAGCTGCCGGGCACGGAGAGAGATCGCTGTGGCCGAGCCTTATTCTCACAGCAGGCGTGTGCCGGCATTGCCAGCGCACGCAGGACACCCACCGGAGGGATCTGCTCCCACTAATCCATACGGACCCCCCTGGCGGGAGCCTCCCGCTGTGATGCCGGCCCCTCTCGCGTCCCCTTCCCCCCCCTCCCCGGCCGAGGTCCCCCTGCCTGCCGCAGTCCCGGCAATCCCCCATTCCTGGCCCCATCCCAATCCCGTCTCTCTCCCAGAGCCGGGGAACACCCGGACCCCCCGAGCCGCCCTCACCGCCGGCCGAGGGACACGTCGCACTGAGCGGCGGAGCGCGTGACGTCACCACAGCGGACGGGGCGGGTTTGGGGGGAAATTGAAGGGTTTTGAGGGCGGGGTTGCACTTGGATTTTTTTTTTCCCCTTCCGGTTTCCGGGGCCTGTCGCTCCTCCCGCCTCGCCGGCGGGGGCGGGCACGGCCGTGAGGGCCGATCCGCCCCGGCAGCGCCTCTGCTTCCCGTGCCCTTGGAGCCTTGGGATCCCAGGGCGTCCTAGCGGGAAATAAAGGGAAGAAGGTGCTACTGTTGCCCCAAGCAAACAGGGACAAGGATGAGAGGACGTAGTCTCAAGCTGTGCCACGGGAGGTTTAGGTTGGACATCAGGAGGAATTTCCTCATAGAAAGGGTGATTAGATATTGGAACGGGCTGCCCAGGGAACTGGTGGAGTCGCTGCCCCTGGAGGTGTTTAAGGAAAGAGTGGACGTGGCACTCAGTGCCATGGAATAGTTCTCAAGGTGGTGGTAGGGCATGGGTTGGACTCGATGATCTCAGAGGTCTTTTCCTAACTAATTGATTCTCTGGATATGCCTGTAACAAATGCTCTTCTGTGAAAAGATGAATAAAAAAAAAATATTAAAAAAAAAAAAAAAACACAAAAAAAACCCCAAAACAGTGTGAAACTCGGAATGCTGGAGCCATTTTGAAGTAAGGGAGTTCATCGCCTTTAAAAACGGGATTTTTCTGAAGTGTGCAGTCTGAGTCCACCACTCAAAGGCAGGGAAGCTCCGTACATTTCAGCACCACAGTGTAGCGTGGGACGCTTCCTTGCATGACGGGGAAAAGAGGCTGTCACTGCCTAAAGGGAGCGCTTCCCTGCTGCTTCATCTTGTAACAGATAAAGGAAGAACAAAGACAAAATGGGTTTACTGTTTTTGTCCTTACTTTGCTTTTGATGTTATAGATTTTTCTCAAGAGCTCTGTTTCTGGTTGACTCCCCCTCTGAGTTTATGTTAAGTCTCCAAAGCTTATTAATTATTCATCAGACTGTGGGGCCTCTGCAGCCAGTTTA